CATGCGCACCAGATGAGCAGCTGGTGACGGCACACGTGCCATAGGTTTGCCATCGTGTTCTGGGAAAAAGACATTCAAAAACTTCAGAAAGGCTATACACCTTAGCGCAGGGGTTAGCAAATGTAAACACTCAAAGAGCCATTTGCACCCGTTTCCCATAGAAAAGAAAACACCGGGAGCCACAAAGGTCCTAACCGGAAGCCCCCTGTTCAATGCTGGAGCTGACTGGAAGTTCAGTTCCCCCACCATAGAGTCTCCTCCTAGGGCGGCATACTTTTTCCTCTACTTGTCATAACCAAAAGCCCTATCAATTGTGGAGACAACCGGAAAAAACCCCCCTTTGCCATAGAGTCTTCTCCTGGCGCACTGTGCTTCTCTCCCCCCGCCACCGGAAACTCCTCTCAAAATTGTGGCGCCAACCGGTGATAGAGCCGCAGCAAAGGGAGAAAAGAGCCACATGCAGCTCCAGAGCTGCAGATTGCTGACCCCTGCCTTAGCAAACTCGCTCATAAAGGAAGGCTGAGGGTTCAGGTATCAAGATGTTGAACCGTAAGCCCTAATTCTTGGCATAACGACTCATTAAAGACAGTCCATGGGACTACCACTTCCTTGTTCTGCAGTTGCGGGGCCTTATAACCTGTAACAAAAGGGGTTTGTTCCAAAGAGTCTATGGATTGCATTGAAAAATAAATTTCTTTTCTCAGCCCCATCTTGGAAAGTTCTCATTAGTTCATTCCAGAGGATCTTTTTTAGACATTTAAAAAATGTCTTATTAAGAAGGGCAGGAAGAGGGATACTGAGGATGTCTGCCTCAGTAGATAGGAGCAATATCTAAAAAGGAGAAATAGCTTTTAGGTGGGCGATTGACAATAAACGGGCCAATTAATCATCAAAAAAGCCAATCATATTAATAGTGTAAGACCATCATACTCCCCAGGTCCTTGAAAAGGACTCAATGGATAGGCAAAAAGTCCAAATCCAGTCTGAACAACTGGTTGACTGTGATGCACAATAATAATAGCAATAAAAAAGAATGAACCTGGAGTGGAAACAAAATGATATTGGAGTGAGTGTGAAAGTAGTGTGTGGCAGTTTGTATACAATGGAAAGGCAGCCGTCTTTGAAAAGTTGACTTCTTTCTCCAACCAGTTTGGCCTTCAACTTCTGAATCTCCCTTTCTCATATTAGCTACTGCCCAGCATCTATGTTTTTTTTTCTTATTTTGAGAAGGTGTGAAGTCTTAGATCTTTACTTTTCTATCCAAGGTTAGTTTCCTTGGGAAAGTGTCTTGGGATTAGAGCAGTGGTGGGGTTCAATTTTTTTTTACTACCGGTTCTGTGGGCATGGCTTGGTGGGCGTGGTGGGTGTGGCACGGGAAGGATACTGCAAAATCCCCATTCCCTCCCCATCCCACTAGCCTGTTTTCCAGCTCCATTCTCCTGTGCAGGGCAACAAAAAAAGACCCTCCCAAACAGCTGGGACTCGGGAGTCAGCGAAGAGATTGGGGGTGGGGCCAGTCAGAGGTGGTATTTGCTGGTTCTCCGAATTACTTAAAATTTTTGCTACTGGTTTGCCAGAACAGGTCAGAACCGGCTGAATACCACCTCTGGGTTAGAGGTTTTAGTTTTGGTGCCTAAAATTCTCCCACACTAGATTCGTCCAACTTACTGGTAACCTGGCTGATTTGAGAAGCTGACAATTCTAATGGTGACCGATGGGTCCATCCATGATGGATGGACATTTATTAATGGTATTTCTACATGCCTGGTTTTTATGGGAGGGAGTGGGCCGAGCCTTTGGGACGGTGGTGGTTAGCCATGGAGATCTTTTACTGCAAGATATTGTCAGGGTTCCAAATAACATCCAAAATTAAATCAGAGTCTGAGGCGGAGTATTGATTAATGTTCCAATTTATTAAGAGAACCATGTTGGCACATCTGGGAAAACTCAAATCTGAAAAGCTTCCCAGTTTTCCCTCCCCAGTTGAAAGTTCAAGATCTTGCCCCCACACCCTGAAGTCCATCACATGGTCCAATCTTCCACTGACATGCTGGCAGTTCCACCCATCCAGTTCCAGTCAGGTGCAGAGACAAAGGATGACCTGTTTTTCTAAAAGGAATTTTATTTTGGCTACATAGCATTTAACTCCATACCACCCCCCTCCCATTTTCCCACAATAGAAAATGCATAGTAGAATAATAGAAAGTGTGGCAGGCCAAAGATCCAAAAGAAAAGATGGCTACAGGCCTGACCGACATTTTGAAGGTCTAGTTTAATGAAAAGAAGGATTAGGAGTGGCATGATACTAGTGTTCCAATATCTGGGGGCTGCTACAAAGAAGAGGGGGTCAACTTACTTTCCAAAAACCAGAAGGCAAGACAAGAAACAGTAGATGGAAACAAATCAAGGAGAGAGTCAACCTGGAAACAAGGAGACATTTCCTCTCAGTTAGAACAATTAGTCAGTGGAATGACTTGCCTCCAGATGGTTGTGGGTGCTCCAACACTGGAGGTTTTAAAGAAGACAATGGACAACTGTTTGTCTGAAATGGTAGAAGGTCTCCTATTAGAGCAAGGGGTTGGATTAGAAGACCTCCAAGGTCATTTCCAGAATAACATCCAGCTTCTTGGATGTTAATCTGGTTTAAATGGTAGCAAATAATGGATTGGAGGCCACAAAGTGCCTGTCAGCTTTTGGCTTAGGTTATTGGTTGTCTTCTTTTTGAGTGGGACAGTCTGAAGGATAAGGCAAATGCTACACCTAAGTTACCTTCCTCTCCCTTTTACTTGCAGTGGTGCACAGCCGAGGCGGGACTGTCGACAGCCTGCAAAGATTCGCCAGCTCGCCAGTCTATCTCCCGGTGAATTACCACCTCTCCAACACTGAGGCTTCCTTTTTCCTCAAAGAGACCAACCAAGAGATCGTGAGGAATGCCAGCTTGCAATCCCGCACGGAGCCTTTCCTGGTTTACAAAACCACCCGCTTGCCTGTCTTAAATGCTACTTATGGCCCTTTTGCCGTGGAGCAGATTATGCCTCCGCACCTGTGGCTGACCTCTCCTCTGTTCGGTTTCCCTGACCAGTTCACTTTTCATTGGAAGTTACAATCCCGCGTCCTGGACAACTCGGTGTATTCCAATAGGCCCAAAGTCCAGGTTTTGTTTTACGTGGCTGGCAAAGATTGGGAAGACCACGATCCGGCTGAGATCTTACCTTGTGTCCAGTTGGTGGCTTCCCGGGAGGACAGAGTAGTTGTTGGCAACTGTCGATTGAAAGGTCCTCTGGGGTTATGTGTCGCAGAGCTGGAGTTCCCACCGGCTTGGTTCAACTCAGAGCTGTCCACTCCGTTGACCCCGTTGTCTTCAGAGTACCAAGAGATGGAGGACTCCTGGGAAGGGATCACCGTGGAGCTTTTCTATTGGATGTACGCAGAAGCGGAAGAAGATTGTCCTTCAGGAGATCCAGATCTGGAGAGCTTCTTTCATCCAGGAGGCCAAGAGGAGGCCCAAGGGCCCGTATCCTCAATGGAAAAAGTCGGCAGTATTATTCTTTTTCCGACTCCAGACAAGCTCAAGAAGTCATCCCTGAAGCTTGACAATAACCTTGTCCTCTGTTTGCCACGTGGCCCAGTCAAGGAAGGAGATCTTGTCATGTTTCACGTCTCTCTCACCAGTGGCTCACTAGCAGATCAGTTTACACTAAGGTAAGCGTTAGAAGTGTGTGCTTTAGAAATTGACTGACAGAATTGAATGTCATGGGTGGATGTGGTCATTTTGAGGGTGAATCAAAGCAGCCAAGATAATCAAAGCCATCTTGTTGGCCCACTGTTTTCCTTGAATGTTAGGCCAAAGTGTTCAGCTCCATGTCTGCCTTGTAATTCCAGATTTATAGAAACAAGAAGTAATCTGTTGCAGCTGTTCTGACCTAAGCTTCCCCAAAATCACGAAGCAGACTCCTTGTCCCGACAAACCCCCTTTTTATTACGCTAATGTGAATTCCTCTCATTCACATCCAGCAAAGTCCCAGCAAACAGTCTTTCAAGGGTGAATTGACAACCACAGACCTTATCAGGCTTGGAGAGATGCCAGGCCAGTATCTCCTAAATGCAACGCTGTAGAAGAAAATACTTGGCAAAGGAGTCTCTGAGAGTCACAAACAAAACTTCACACTAACTAAGCGAACTAATTGTCTCCTGCAAACTCCACTCCCCTTTCGCTCCCCTAT